AAAATATATATATATATATAAAAAACTGAAGATCATTGTATCATACTTACCAGAATGTTCCCGTCCTGCAAAAGCTATCCCCAAATCCTGCAGAGCACCACTTAGCCCTTTAGGCTTCCTATTATAGAAGGCCTAAGGGAAAAAAACACAGGTGCTTAACATAAAGCATTTCAAAGCATCTTCATAGTGAAGGGAAACCATTTCAGAAACATTATCTTATGAATAATAAATCTCACAAGGCAATTGTGCAAGTCAGGTATCTTAATTTTTCAGTCGGGATAAATAAGCACAAGACCGTGACTTACCCTGTAATAAATTAGAATGGAAAGAACCACGAATGCCTTTTCTCACTCTTAAACTAATCCCGTCTGTCTTAGCTCTGGAGTCAGTCATTTGCACTTGATGAAGGCCTTAACAGTGCAGCATTGAAGAATACAGCTATAAATAACATCCTGAGATGTTTAAACCGTTGCATATTGAAAAGGCACAGGCATTGATATATTTGGCATAGGTATAAGTTCTTTTTAAATGAGAAAAAGTGCTGCTACTCACTCCCCGTATCTCATTTGATCACAAGAAAGGGGGAATATTCACACTGTTTCTCTTTAGAGACCTAATTCTGCTACCTAGATTGAGAGCCTAAGCTCCAAGTGTCAGGACAGGTAGACTCCTGGGTCACCCTTGGAAAGTTTCATTGACTGCACAGAGGTGCTGTTAGCCCCCAAGTGAGAACTGTGTTGCAGTGTAGACCATGTAATAAAATACACATTCATGTTCTTCAGTATTATTTATGCTATTCAGAATATACTTTCTGGTCTGAGTACAGTTCACATGTTATACCTTTAAGTACCTCTAAACAGATGGTGATGACTGTTTTCTACACAGCAATAAGAGCACTCAAAACCAGGGAAGTTAGGAAGCAAGCAGAGCAAAAGATGTCAGGAAAGGCAGCTCGAAAAATTCTCCTAGGATTATCATTCATTTATCTAACAATAACACCAGGTTGTTTTCCTAGCATTAAGATTTCTATTAAAATTCACACAGTTCTAGGGCAGTTTGTTATTGAGCAATAACAACCTGGAAAGAAACCAAATGGGTTACTGTAGTCACTGGAACATACAATATTGGCTTGTAACCTCAGATAGTTAGCTTTGAGATGATAATACGGGTATAAATGTTTCACAGTCAATCGATCTTCTCACCCTGTATGTTGCTTTGAGATCAATCCAGGAATTTAAAATGTCAGGTTTTCGCAGCTGCTTCCTTTTACACTCATACTGCAAACACACACCCAGGTCCCAGTCTGCACAGAAAAAACCCACAAATAATCCATCACTAAAGAACTGGCCCAAAGTCTGCCTAAACATGGCTCAAAATCTACATAAAGGCACATAACATCAACGTACTAACAGGCTAACGAGCTTCATTAGCACAGGCTAACAAAGTCCTTGTACATGAAAAACACTGGCCTTGCAGCAACAGGTCAGGATAAGTGAATACCGATTGTTAGTAAAGAATGACTTCAGGTGGGTCAAGATCTCAAAGACCTCATGAAATCATTTAGACACACTGAGAATGGTGTCACAGTTCACTATACATAAAGCAGAAAAATGTAACGGTGATGTCATGAGCACATCAGCATTCAATGGAGTTCATATTTTCAGTCTTATCCCAATATTACACATATTTAAAATATCTAATACCAGGATTTTGGCTCCCTGGAAGTGAAGATGCAATCTCACTAGCACCACCAAATGTTAATTTTTTATGTGCAAATGTAAATTTTATTTACCTGTCCAAGTAACAAAGGTACACAGTTTTGCTTCTGAAGCAGCAAGACTTGGAATATCTGAACTAAATATAATTTTCTTCTCCTTTTGTATCTTTTGAATCCATTTTAAAAACTGCGATAAACAAATGTTGAGAGGGACTCCTTCATCAACCTGATTCTTTATGAAACAGAGCAAGATGTATGTGTTAGTATGCACGGACGTTCATTTGAGATTTCTCTTTAGCCCTTTAAAGGCATGTTTAAAAAAAAAAAAGTAAATAGCAATTATACGGATGTAAAATACAACGAAATAGCAATTATACCTGCGTGATGCCCGTTAGCTCTCTACAAAATTCAGAGAGAAGAGGATGCTCCTGGGGCTGGACATACGTGTGGAATTCAGATTCAATCTCCCCCGTCGAAGTGTTTAACAGGACTGCTTGGGAACCTCACCTGCCACAAAACGAGACAAACCAACCCAAAAACCGGTGCCAGGACGGTTAAAGCTGTCCACTGAAACGGCCCCGTTTGCGTTAAACGGGGGTTGAATTAGAAGGAACGCAACGTAATGAGGACGCAACGTTCAAAGCCGCCTCCCGTCAGAGGAACGTCGGGCCCGCGGCCA